TGTAAAACAAGCTTTAAGTCCAATCAGAGAGTGGTTGGTCATTCACATAATATTTGTGCCACTATTTTAACAGTGGGCATATATTGCCAGGACAGCTGCTGTTTTAGCTCACAGCTGATAAGACTGTTGATTGCTTTTCTACTCTATTAGCATGCATAGAAACTTCCTCTATGTGGAATGGGCTCCCAAAGTCCACACCTATGCTAGGAATAAGTACTGAACAACTACAGGAGGTCCCGTAGATTTCTGAGGTTTCCTCACTGAAACCCATGTGCCAAGACACACGGGGGTGGGCCTAGGCCCAAAGGATACGATAGACTCTGATGACCGCCCCCTATGGAAGGCCTCACCATCCAGGGGGAGCAGAAAGGATATGTGATAGGTAGGGTTTTAGTGTGTGGGGGGGGGTTGGTAGGGGAGGATGGGAGGGAGAGGGAACTGGGATTGTGTAAAACGATCTTGTTTCTAATTCAAATAAAAAAAAATCTGAAAAAAAAAGAAACTTCCAGCACTCGGAAAGCAAGCCAGTAGAAACAAAACTTCGTTAGTATCAGCTTAATTTCTTCATGTTCTGTGATATACATATATGATATCTTCAGCAACAGGGGTCTTAACATCAATTTCTGCAGGGTAATCAAGATCAATAGCAATGGCCTGAAATGTTAGTGTGTCGATGATTATGAGACCCCACTGGCCGACAACTAGAAAAGACGTAACCCATTCCTGATACTGGGCCTTTTATTTGATAGCCTATGACATCTACAGGAGGGTTTTTGTTGTTGTTGTTGTTGTTTGTTTTCTGAGACAGGGTTTGTCTGTGTAGTGCTGGCTGTCCTGCAACTTGCTTTATAGACCAGGATGGTCTCAAGCTCTGAGATCTGCCTACCTTTGCCTACGGCATGCTGGGGTTAAAAGTATGTGTCACCACCACCGGGGGTATAAATTTTAAAGGAAGTTTCTTTAGTTTATATAGTAGTAGGTTTCCATGTGGCATTTTTTAAGGTCTTTAGGGTTAGCCCTCCTCGTATCCCCCCTCTATCCTGCCCTAGTACCCCAAGCTCATTTCACCCATCCCCAGGTTCCCCCCTCTACCCTGCCCTAGTACCCCAACCCCATTTCACCCATCCTGTTCCATTATGCTGCTTTTTCCTTTCAGATTACCTGTGTTCTATACCACTTCCTTTTAAATTCTGCCCCCCTTACTTGTTTCCTACTGTGATGGCTATTCTTGGTTGTCAAAATCTGGAATTAACTAAAACCCGAATGGCTGGACACACCTGTGAGGGATCTTTCTTTCTTTCTTTCTTTCTTTCTTTCTTTTTTTCAAGATTTTATTTATTTATTATGTATACAACATTCTGCTTCCATGTATATCTGCACACCAGAAGAGGGCACCGGATCTCATTACAGATGGTTGTTAGCCACCATGTGGTTGCTGGGAATTGAACTCAGGATCTCTGGAAGAACAGTCAGTGCTCTTATCCTCTGAGCCATCTCTCCAGCCCCAGGGATTTTTCTTAATTAAATCACTTGAAGACAGGATCCTTATCTGGATTTTGAGGTAGAAAGATAAGCTTTTAATGCAGATCTTTTGAGGTGGGAAGATTCGCCTTTAATCTGGACCACAACCTTCTACTCACGGCCTATATAAGGACATAGAAGGAAATTCTCTTGTTGCCTACTTGTTCTCACTGGCGAGTCCATTACTGGCATTTGAGCCTACTTCTTTGGGAGTCTGGCTCACATTGAAGATCAGCTGAGACATCCAGTCTTCTGGACTAAACAACTACTGGATTCTTGAGCTTTCCATTCAGCGACAGCATTGTTCAATTAGCTGGATCATAGCCTACAAGTCATTCTAGTAAATCCCCTTTCTGTAATAAAGAGATTTGATTATAAGTTCTGTTACTCTAGAGAGCCATGACTAATACAGATTTTGGTATCAGAAGTGGTTGTAGAGCAACAGAAGTATAAGGGAATTTTTTAGGTATCTGAAATAGGCATTCTAATTTGCCAACATCTGCAGGTACCACAGCCTCTCCAATTACTGAAGCCTCTCTGGGGGCTTCAGAAAGAAGTGAAAGAAAGCTCACAATGTGAACTATTTTACAAACATAAGGAGACAAATGTATTTGATTATCCTGATTCACCAATTGTGAGAGGCAGTGGGTTTGGTGACTGTATATAAAATAAGGAAAATGATGCTGTTGACCGGTTGCTCCCGGCATCTGGGTAAATTAACAAAGGAAAAGAATGGGCACTGGGATCAAATTAACCAATGTCTAGCGTCTCAGAATATGGTGAAGGACAATGAACTCAGTGATAAAATTAAGCAGCTCCAGATGCACATAGACAGACTAAAGGTTTCTACGTATACCCTGGAAGAGAGTCTTCTCTTCATCAGCCACAGGGCTCAAGTTGAAGAAAATCAAACCAAAGCCCTTGCTATTAGGTTGGCTGAGTTACTGTGAAAATTCAAGTCCCAGCCTCAGAGGGGAGGGTGAGGAAGGTTAAAGTAGGGACATTAGTTGGAAAAGAGTGGGGTCCTTATTCTGAGCGAGGTAACCCAATTACAAAAAGACAAACATGGCATGTGCTCACTCATATGTGGATTTTAGACATAAAGTATAGGATTGCCAGCCTACAATCCACACTGCCAGAGAAGCTAGTAAACAAGGAGGACCCTAAGAGAGACATACATGGTCCCCTGGAGAAGGGGAAAGGGACAAGATCTCCTGAGAAAATTGGAAGCATGGGAGGAGGGGGGAGGGAGCTAGGAGAATGAGAAGGGGAGAAGAGGAGGGGTGAGGAAGACATGAGCAAGCAGAAAGGTTGAGGCGGGGAGGGGGGTGGGGGTGGGGGAAGAATTACAACTAACCACTGAACTGAACTGGAATCCAGATGCAGAGGAGGAGTGATGGTCCAGACCAGGCTGGTGAAACCCACAGAAACAGCTGATCTGAACAAGGGAGAGCTCTTGGTCCCTAGACTGATAGCTGGGAAACCAGTATGGGACTGATCCAGACCCCAGGAACATGGACTTCAGTGAGGAAACCTCAGAAATCTACAGGACCTTCTGTAGCAGTTCAGTACTTATCCCTAGCACAAGTGTGGACTTTGGGTGCCCATTCCACATAGAGGAATACTCCCTGAGCCAAGACACAAGGGGGTGGGCCTAGGCCCTATCCCAAAGGATATGATAGACTCTGATGACCCTCTTTGGAAGGCCTCAGCATCCAGGGGAAGCAGAAAGGATATGTGATAGGTAGGGTTTTAGTTAAGGGGGGGCGGTAGGGGAGGACGGGAGGGACCAGGGAACTGGGATTGTCATGTAAAACAATCTTGTTTCTAATTCAAATAAAAAAAATCATAAAAAAACTAGCCAAATTGAGCTTTCTTCTGCAGCACAGAAACATTTGAACTTAGGAAACAATGAAATTAGTTGTCTTTTTGTGAAAATTTAACCACCAAATAAAGGAGTGGAAGAAAACACTAAGCTTAGGCCTCTGAAATAAAACCTGGACCCAGCCCTTGCATACCAAAACACATTTAAACAAGTATATAAAAATCAGATTCAGACAATTTTTGTACTGTTTTTTTTTTTTGTTTGTTTGTTTGTTTGTTTTCGAGACAGGGTTTCTCTGTGTAGCTTTGGAGCCTATCCTGGCACTCACTCTGGAGACCAGACTGGCCTCAAACTCACAGAGATCCGGCTGCCTCTGCCTCCTGAGTGCTGGGATTAAAGGTGTGCGCCGCCACCAACGCCCGGCTGTACTGTTTTTAAAAAGCCTATTTACTCTAGCAGATCTTCAAAGAACTAACATAAAGCTTCTCAAACTTTCCCATAAAATGGTAAAGGACAGAACATTACTAAACTTATTTTATGAGTCATAATTATCCTGATACTAAAACTGCATAAAGACACAATGAAACAGAAAACTATAGACCAATTTACTTGATGAAAATAAACCCCCAAACCTTTAGAAAACGTCAATCATTTTTAGAAAGAATATTGCAGTGGAGCAATATTAAAATCTACAGATCACTGTCATAATGAAACTCATTATTGCATATAATGACTATATGCTGTGACATTTAATCTACTTTTAATTTACTGGTTTTAGCGTACCGGTGAAACAGCTTTCCATTGTGATTACCACACTTGATTTAAAATTCATATTACAGAAAGAGCACTTTGCCAGATTGCTAAAGCGTGTTATTAGAGTCTGGGGGTCACTGTCTGCCCCCTGGTATAAGAAAAAGAGCTTAGACACAGTTAGGGCGGAGTTTGTCAGAAAAAAAAATATTCAGCTTCTTTCTGCCTTGCCTTATTCCTGTTACAATGAGGAGGGCGGCAGGAAATGCACTCACGAAGATAGTCCATACTGTGATGAGAAGGATTCTTTGGTAGGAATCCTAAGTTCATTATACATCATGGGCAATGTCCTGAAACTTCCGGAAAGTTCCAAGAAATGCCCTTGAGGGGGATAAAGGAGAAATCTGTCCAATATTCAGTGAATTTTAACCATTTCATTACTAGAGCAGGCAAATCCAAATTGCAATTGCATAACATGGCCACAAGATGACAACATGTCAACGTATTTTCAGGACTATGACTATAATTTTGGTGGGGTTTTGCCTGTAAGCTTCTGATAAATTTAACTTTTCTTATCTTCCCCTATCTTTTAGTGCTTGAATTATAATAAATTTAGAACATGTCAGAATTTCTGTCAGCTTCATATTATATGGAACCACTATCCTATATGTAGTCAATAATTCTCAAAATATCATGTGGTCTATAAAGAGTATTTTTAAAAGTACATATAGAATTTGACTTGAATAAAAGGATTTCTTCAAATTACATTCATTAGTATTTTAGGTATAATTAATCCACATTATTCACTATATTTGCTGAAATACAAGTTTAGTGAACACTTGAATCAGGTGATTGTTTTTGTCAAGGAAGAAGACCATAATTGTATTATTAAAAAAATCTTTAATATACATGCAACAAATATAGTACATCAAGGCAACAAAATACACATGGAAAGAGACATAATTCAGCATTCTTTGTGGGGGGTCTGAAAAATAAAGACTACCATTGGAAATTAAAGATTGAGACACATACGGTTTATTCATGCAAACATTTATAAACTCTCCTCTGGTCTGAAATGAACTGCAGAAACCTGGATTTCATAGTAGCAGATGAATTTTATACCAAGAGCTCCAAGAATGGAGGGAAAGCCTTGATCCTCAGGTGTCATGTCTTAGTCTGCGGCTTGCAGCAGGGTTACGTGCACAAACTAGCATTTCTATCAGACAAATCTGAAAAAGTGTACCAATTAGGGAATCTTGTATTCCCTTCTACTTTATAAAAAATGTATGAAAAGATCTTACCAAGGTTTTAATATATGAAAGAATCATAAATGTCAGGTGAGAGCAGGTCAGGATGATAAAGCATTAAACATTTTGCTAGTTCTTAGAAAAGTGGAGGCGTGCCCTTAACTAGCCTAAAATTCCCCAAGTTCTCCTGACCATCTATTTCCTCATTCCCTCCTCAGGCCCGGGGTCCTCATTCTCTATCCCTCACACTAATTAAAAGCAGCTTTGGACACCGGAGTTCTTAATGCAGTGTACATTCCTCAGAACAGCTGGAGGTGCCATTTTCCAAGAACATATGCATTTGTATAAGCATTAAAGCCTTCAGCTGTGGGAAGGAAGCTCTCAGCATGTTCTGACACATCCAAAACGAAGACTGTCACAAGCATCCAGCCCTCCTTTGCCCCTGAAGTGACTATCTGTATCCTGCCTCACTGTAAGACAGGTCACATCACTATTGATTACTTTGTATTCCACATCATGAGACTAAGCTCCAAGCATTTCCAAGAACCTCCAATCCCTACACTCTGGACACACAGTCTTATAGGAGGAACAGCTTCCTCCATGTCACAGCTGCTAGGTTTAAATATAAAATTAACAAACAAAAACACCTCCTGAAGTCCCCAGTAAGTTTTGTGACGTCTTCGTGTAAACAACATAAAAAACTTCTTTGGCACACTTATATCCTCATATCACTCATTACAGAAAATATACTTCATACATTTTCAATATGGTGGAATTTTTGGGACATGTGTAGTTGTTTCAAGAACAGCAAAAAGATTTGGAAACATGGCCATTAAAAGAGCACTTTTCCCATAGATGTATAGGATTTTTAAACACTAAGATCAGTTTTTAAAATGAGGTCATGGTAAAGGGTGTGACACATCAAGGTATAATTAAATGTTGCACACAGGGGGGACACAGAATTGTAGCTCAGACATATATCCAGTCAGGTATGCTGGCCACTCATGAGTTCTTCATTTAAAAGCTTCTCAAATCCTTAATTAAACTGGAAATTTCTGATGAAAACATCACCTTTCCGATGTTTGTTCTGCATTTTGGAATATTTCCAACTTCCCAGGCACACCTGATCACATTTTAAAATGGATAATTTTAAAAGAAAATCCTGAGAAAGTACGTCTAAGAAATGTTTTCATTTTCTTAGATACAAAATGCTTTTCCTACATACCTTACAAATTAAGTCAGCAAATTCCTAAAAAGGTACATAGCAAAAAAACTGTGAAATGCTAGAAGTTGGTTACCAAATGATAAAAGAAAAACTAAATGAGCCATTGTATCGCTGTGGCTGAGAGCCTTCTCCTGTACAAACATATTATGTGGACATCGGAACTTAGGAAATCCTTCATGAAATTAGTTGTCTTCTGTGCCAACTTAACCACCAAATAAAGGAGTCAAAGAAAACACCAATTTTAACTCTCAATAAAACCTGAGCCCAGCCTCTGCACACCAAGATGAATTTAAACAAATATATAAAAATCAGTTGAGTAACAACTTTGTACAGTTTACAACAGATTCAGACAATCTTTGTAAGATTTCTTTAAAGCCATTTCAATTTTAAACATCTTCAATGACAAATGTAAGATTTTTGAAAAAAGAAAAATAGCAGATTATTATGCCTTTCCCTCAGACTTCACATGGGCTGGGCTGAAATCCCCAAAGAACAAAATGTCAAGAGTGTACCAGAATGATATAAAATTTCAAATATCTCCCCAGCAGTCAAACGTATGGAAACTGAATATTTACAGAACAGAAACTTTGGGTTTTTCTGTAGTCTTTCAGGATGGAGTCCGGCCTGGACTTGTCATCTCAGCTGTGGGACTTGCAAGGCAGTCATTGGATTTTAGGCTCGTGAGGGACTTGTAGCTTGCCACTGATGTTAGTGACCCACAGAGACCAAGCAGAGAGGGGGTATCTTCTTTACCTGGAAGTTAAGATGAAATCACACAGAAATAACAAACAGCCTTCATCAATCACACAGCAAGACCATAAATCCATGAAAAATTCCCATAGCTTCTAAAGGAATGAAGACGTAGCCGTGTGGCTAAACATATGTCACCTTTCAGCAGTTTTTAACATTGCCTTTAAAAGCATTAGAGTATTTGTGCTTCTCTTAAGACTTCTTGGTACTGATGTTCGAGATATGTATTCTAGAGCAAAACTGGGACAGCTGCCTTTTGTTTACTTACTTAATGAGATACATCTCTTTATGCCACCCTGGCTATCCTGGATCTATCTTACTATGTAGACCAGGCTTGCCTCAAACTCACAGAGATCCTCCTCCATCTACCTCACAAATGCAGGGATCAGAGGTGGGTGCCACCATGCCCCTCCCCCTATTTTGGAAGATATATTCACACTCAGTCATTCAGTAACAAAAAAAGAATACTCAACTAAATAACACTAACTGTGGCCAAGCCAGAGAGAATATGGGAACCTCATGCTTACATTAAGGGCAATAGAAACAAACTTATCCTGATCAGACAACACTCACTTGCTGACTGTTTACTCAATATCTCCTGTGCATTGGGGTCTGAGTTTTTAATTATATATATTATATATATTTATCTATATTTTAATTATATACAATTAAATTTACAAAATTTATATAAATTAAGTTTTATATGTAATTTATATATAAAATTTTAATTATAAATAACATTTAAATAATATATTTAATTATATAATTATAAAACTATATCATATATATTTTTAATTTCTCGTGTGTGTGTGTGTGTGTGTGTGTGTGTGTGTGTGTGTGTCTATGTGTGCCACAGAGTGTGTAAAAAGAAAACTTTCAGGAGTTGGCTCTTAGTTTCCACTAAACATGCCCAGTGAGGAGCTGAACATGAAGAAGTTCTAGAATTAAGCATTCATGAGTAGCCTGAGTGACACTGTAAGTTCTCAGCAGCCTGTCTTTAAAAAAATTAAGTTAAAAGCCAGGCAGTGGTGGTGCATGCCTTTAATCCCAGCATTATCGAGGCAGAGGCTGGTGGATCTCTGTGAGTTGGAGGCCAGACTGGTCTACAGAGCAAGTTCCAGGACAGCCTCCAAAGCCACAGAGAAACCCTGTCTCAAAAAAACAAATACATGATAGGTAGACAGATAGATGGATGAATGGACAGATAGATGATAGATAGAACAAGATATTCTGAGAATACTATGAGCAACTGAAGTCCCTTTTATTCTTTTTTTTCACAGGTAGACAGGGTAAGAGAGTAATTTTTTTAAAAATGCATGCTTAAAAATCTACAGAAGCAATGAAAAAATCTGAAAAACTGAGAAAATAATTTGATTTATAATATAATCCAAAAGAATGGCAGATTCGGGCTGGAGAGATGGCTCAGAGGTTAAGAGCACTGAGTGTTCTTCCAGAGGGCCCAAGTTCAATCCTCAGCACCCACATGGTGGCTCACAATCCTCTGTAATGAGATCTGGTGCCCTCTTCTGGAATGGAGGCAGAACAGTGTATACATAAAAAATAAATAAATCTTTAAAAAAAGAATGGCATACTTAGAAGTAAATTTAACCAAATAATGAAATACTAATACACTGGACAAAGACTACTCTCAGGCTTAATGAGAGCAACTCTCCTTAAGGTGAATGGAAGTGTTGCTGAGATCTATGACTGTGCAAATGTTGAGAATAAAAAATAACGAAAGGCTCAGGCCTGATTAAGACACTTAAACCACTTAGGGCTCCAGTAACATTAACAGAAGGGAGAGCAGGAAGAATGTAAGAACCAGACGGCAGAGAAGGCCTGTGAAATGACACAACATGGTCAAAGCAATCATATAAACAACTCTGAGCAAATGTGCCCAATGGCACTGGGTCCACACAAGTTGGGGCTTCCCAGCAGTCAGCCATGGAAAGGAAGAGGCTCACAGGGCCCTACACTGATCTATTGGCAACCTAATGGATTCTGGGAGAAGAGCGGGAGGCATAGCACAAGAGGCTCTGATGGATAATTATAAACACAGGCTGATACAGACAGCTCTAGTTAAACTCTGTGAGACACAAAACAAGCAAAAGTAATGAATATGAGAAAAAGGTCTGTAAGGAAGAGAAGAGGCCTGTAGGTATGGGAGGGAAATGAGAGCCTGCAGGGGTAACCAAAATGTATTAAAACATATATGCAATTGTCAATGAACACAATTTATTAGAAATAAATACATTTTCATTATAATGATTATTTATTCATGTGGGACATGTTTGTAATCTCAGACACCAGAGGCAGAGTCAAAAGGATTATAAACTTAAGGCTGGTGTGGGCTACAGAAGAACACTTTGTTCTTAAGACCAGATACGTTAAACTACTCACAAATACGAAAGCCATTTCCTTCTTGTCTTTGTTAGGGTGACTATTGCTGTGATGAAACGAAATACCATGGTAAAAGCAATTTGGGAGGTAAGGGTTTACTTGGCTTATACTTCCACAACGTAGTTCATCACTAAAGAAGTCAGAGCAGGAACTCAAAACAGGGCAGGAACCTGGAGGCAGGAGCTGATGCAGAGGCCACAGAGGGAGCTGCTTACTGATTAGCTGCTTCCCCATGGCTTGCTCAACCCACCTTTTTACAGAACACGGGACCAGCAGCCCAGGGATGGCCCCACCCACCATGGATGGGCCTGCCTCTGTCAGTGACTAAATAAGAAAATGCCCTATGGGCTTGCCTACAGCCCAAACTTTTGGAGGCATGTTGTGGAACATTATTTTAAGGTGTGTTACATTTATTTACACTGTGGAACATTTGTTTAATGTTGCCAATATGTGTTGCATTCTTTTATGTTTCACTTGTTTAACTCTGTAAAGCTGTGATTCTTTGCCTGTCTAAAACACCTGAAGGTCTGGTGGACAGCTGAATGGCCAATAGCAAGGCAGGAGAAATGATAGGCAGGGCTGGCAGGCGGGGAGAATAAAGAGGAGGAGAAACCTGGGAAGGAGGAAGGAGCAAGATAGAACAAGGAGAGGAGGAAGTCAGGGGCCAGCTCCCTTGACACCCAGCCAGCCACAGAGAAAGACATACAGAGGAAAAGGAAAGAGCCCAGAGGCAAAGGTAGCCAGGATAATTGAATTTAAGAAAAGCTGGCAAGAAATAAGCCAAACTAAGGCTAGGTGTTTATAAAAAAGAATAAGACTTCATGTGTTATTTATTCAGGAGCTGGGTGGTGGCACTCCAAAGAGCCAAAAAAAAAAAAAAAAAAGAGAAAAAAACTTTTTGGGGCTGGGGGGGGA